TCCTCATAGATCCTACTCTCTTTAAAGTACCGTCACTGGAGTAGCCAGAAATTAGGCCCTGCAAGTTTGCTACCTACTGACTACATGTGGACTATCCACATGCCTTTTTGCAATGTGTACAGCCAGCCTCCCAGATTTGTAATAGACACACAAAAGCCTACTCCTCCCTGGCTATTACATGCCATTGTATTTAGAGGTCAACAAAAAACACTGCAGTGACACAGAATTGCTCTTTGATTCCTGGAGTCTCTTTTCAGCATCTCTTAGTTCTGCTTCTTTCTAGAAGGTAATGCATACCTGCCCTTACTTGGTGCCCTGAAGTGTAGTTTGAACATACTATGCCAGCTGTACTGCTATAACTAGATTATAGTAACTGTTGTCTGTGCCAGGCCCACGTCCCCTCATTATCTGATAGCCTCCCACAACATTTAGACCTTAGCCACCTGGATACTTCTGGTTAATAGAAGCCCACAGTAACTAAAGCAAAAAAATTCAGCAAAATAGTGTCCCTTAGGAATAGCCAACGGCTGGCAGAATTTGGTGTTATAATTCCCTTTAGGATAATGGCAGGGCTCTGGGTTTCTACTGTGACATCCAAAAATTTCCAAGTGGATTAACCTCCATTTACCATTAGTGGAAACTCACACAACTCTACCTTTATGGCTGGCTTCCCTTTTCTGCCTCACTTCCTCACTCCATACAGGTATTTCCTAGATTACTCTTGTAGTTGAATAGAAGAATCTGCTGCTAGAACACACCTAAGACTGATCTCTATGAACCCCCCCCCCCCTTAGAAAGACTGGCTTTCACTGGAAAGGATTTTTATTGCTCAGGATTATCTGGCACAGAAATGCTGGAGTTGATATTATCTGAGCTAATGTCTTTCAAGCTCCCCAAACAAGTTGGAATCTATGCATAGAACATAAAATCTGGAAAGAGAACACAGTAGTAAGAATCTTTTACCCTCTATTGCCTCATTTTTCAAAGTTGAGGGAAGTGAACTCCAAAGTTGTGCGATTTACTTAAGGTAATACAGCTGGAAAAAGGCTGAACCAGGAACAGATTTCAGATATTTGGCTACAAAGGAAGGGCTGAATAAACTGTGTGAGTCTTACAAAAAAAAATTCAGTGGAACCAGGCGTGGCTGTGCACATCTGTAATCTCAGCACTTGGAAGTTGAGACAGGAGGACCACTGTGAGCTCAGGTCCAGCCTGGGGGCTACAAAAGTAAGCACAGGGCCAGCCTAAACTGCATAGCAGGACCCTGTCTCAAAAAAAAAAAAGATAAAACATAGAAAGAGTTCAGTATACTATTTTATACAGGCAAATGATACATTATGATTAATAGAAGCTACACAGAAATTTCTAATTTTTTTTTTCTTTGAGACAAGATCTCACCATGTTGTTCAGGTTGGCTCAAACTCCCAATTCTCTCACCTTCAGCTCCCAAGTAGCTGGGATTACACTAACATGCCATCATGGATGGTTCTGATTTTGATTTTTCAAAACAGGATCTTAATCTGTAGCCAAGGCTAGACACAAACTTGCAAGCCTCCTGATTCATCTTCCTGAGTGTTAAGATTACAAGCATGTGCCACCACGCTTGGTAATTTTTATTTCTGAATTTTTACCACTACCAATATCACCTGGGCTGCAAAAGGAGTATCTGGGCTATATCAATTCATAGGAGTTTAAGACTAGTTTATTTTATGATCCTAGGCTGAATTAGTAAAATAGTGACCAAGCATAAAGACACAAGTAGATACATCTTAAGAGATCCCTCAAAAGGTCATTTACATGATCTATTCCTTTGGTATAAATCTAAATCAAATGCAGACTTTTGAAGTTTTCTTCTTCCTTTTGCAATCATCCAAGATGTACAAGGTTTCCACTTAGGAGTTTGCAACCTCTATCCTTGCCAGCTTAGCTTATGACTTTGATGACTCTACTTTTTCCAAAGAAACACCTCCATTGAAAAGGGTAGAAGTAACTTATCACTAGGACCAAATCTCTTTATGACTCAGACACTGTTGTTTAATGTACTTATAATGTGATAAACTTTCCTGTAAAAATCATAAACTCAAATATGTAATTCATAGGAGTTGAAGACTAGAATAAATCTTATGATGAAGACTAAATTCAATTTTCCTATTATAAGTGAAGAATCTCAGCCCCAGGAAAGGCAAGTGATTTTACTACATTAACATACCAGTAGTTAGTAATCAGAATTTCAAGGCTTCTGATTAAGCAGTCATCTGTTATTAACAAAACTTCACTATTTTCTATACAAAGAATTTTCTTTAAAATGTTACATTAAAATTTTAATCTGAGCATAGTGGCACAATCCTGCAATCTCACTTGAGGTAGGAGCCCTACAAATTCTGGCCTAGGTTTTTCTCAAATTGTTAGTACTCTTAATCTTATTTTCTAAATTCATTTACATTTTTGGTATATGAAGACAAGCCAAAACTGTGATGGAAACAGCTGGTATCACCTAACCACATGGTCTTCTCTATACTCTCATCAGATTCTCTGTGGTAGATAGTCAATGGCCCTCTGATCTAGGGTACCACCAAACTCTGGAATCTCAGGCAACTAAGATTCCAGTTACTCTAGGTTTCTGTCCCGCCCTACACCTGGTTTTTGAGTTCTGTAATTTCTTAGGGATTCAAATAGAAATTTTTCAAATCCAAAATTCCCAAAGGAAATCACTCTAGGGATATCTTCAATTTCTGAATTTTTAAAATATGTGTTTAATGCTATTGAAATTTACACTTAAGAAAAAAAAGAAGATACAAGTTAGAACCTGAACATAAGCAGCTCTGATCAGAAAGCTGTCTAGTGTTCTGTTCTGCTAAAGTTGTACAAGTCAGGGCAATGTCTTTGATTGTCAATCTTTACACATGGAAATCCCCTACAGACAAATCTCTTTCAGAAGAAAACAAAGTGTTCAGCTGAGAATTCAATTTCCAGTCATTTGTTACTAATAAAAACCCATTGTTTTTATATGTAGAATTTTCTTTTTTTTTTCTTTTCAAAGTTTTATTGATAAACATATAGCAATGAGACAGTTTCAAATCAAATCGAAAGTACAGTTTCAACAAATAATATACTGCATACATTCTTCTCAGTGGTTAATTGCTGTACAAGATGCAGACTTGTGATCCTTATAATGTTATAGCATTAAAATTTTAAGCTAGAAAAATAAATAAATAACAATAAAAAATAAAGGGCCAGCCAGATATCTCAGCAGACTGCAACACTTGCTTAGAACCAGGGTTTGATCCCTGGCATGATGTGCCAGCCCTGCCTCCAGGGAGCACTGAGATGGGATTGAGACTGGACATGGTGGTACAGGCCCATAATCCCAGAAGTTGGAAGACTGAAAACAGGAAGATGACTATGAGTTCAATCTGTGTAGTGAGGCCCTGTTAACCCTATACTAAATACGTAAAAATAAATAAATAAAATAAGCTAGGTGCCATGGTGCATGCCTATAAACTGAACACTCAGAAGGCTGAGGCAGGAAAATAGCAAGCTCCAGGCCAGCCTGTGCAACTTAGCAAGGCCATGTTGCTAAATAAATATTTAGTTTTTTGAATGGTGTGATCTTTAATTAGATCATACAGATCAATATGTTACTTTACTAATAAATATTGTTCAATTTCATCCTCTATGTCATTTTACTTCATTAATCTTACTCATTAAGTTATAAAGAGGACGAGGAGGAAGATCATTGCAATAAACATGAAAGCTCTAAGAATTTCTTTTCTGTATTTACTTCATTGATATATGTGTGAAACTAGACTGGAAGGAGCACTAGCTTGGAATAGAAATTCTAGTCTTGGAATAGAGTACTGACTCTAATTAAACAGCTTCATGCCTCAATTCCTATGAAATGGAGATAATGAAAATTAACTATCCCTCAGAATTATTTGGGAAGCCCATGAGCTTTCTCTGTGAAATATGCTGTCTCCACCACTACTGGGTTACTTTTTCTTACAGCACACTAGCAGGAGTTCTTGAGGCGGAAATATAGGCACATGTATCCAACTGTCATGACTCCTCAGGCAGATTGGGGGGGGGGGTTGAAGAAGGGAAGGAGGAGGAGGAAGAGGAGAAGGAGGAGGAGGAGAGCTGTGCAGAGTGATGGAGACATGCAGACACAATCCCCACCCTTCTGCCCCATCCCTTTGCACAGGTAAATGCATGGAAGTGTCCTGTCCCAGCTACAGACCAAACTTGGAAGGAAGAATTGGGAAGGAATGGCCAGAGAGAAAAGTAAGGTTGGAAAAAAGACAGAGAACAAAATCCTGCCAGTCTACCCACTCCAGCCTGAAACTTACAGCGATCCTACTGCCTCAACCTTCTGAGTGCTGGGATTATGGATGTGCACCACCACAACCTGCCTATCCACTCACTTCTACAAAGGCCTCCAGAAAATAGGACAGAATCAGGATCAATGGCATTCACTCAGATTTCTAGCTACTTGGGAGTCTGAGGCAGGAGGATCACTTAAATCTAGAGTTCAAAATCATCTTGGGAAACATAGTAAAATCCTATCTCAAATTTTTAAAAAAGAATAAAGAGGGCTTCCTAAAAAGAAGTGGTCGGGGCCGGGGAGATGGCTCAGTAGAATAAGTGCTTCCCTGGCAAGTGCAAGGGCCTGAGTTCAATCCCCGGTTCCACAATAAATAAATAAATAAATAAATAAATAAATAAAAATAAAAGAAGTGGTAATGAGAGCACAGCTAAGGCATGAGCAGGGTGTGACAGAGCATCCCTAAGGCCTTCCACTTCTTACTGCTCTTTCACACTCTTTCTTTCTTTCTTTTCCCACACACAGTTTCAAAAGAACCTCTCATGAGCTAGTTATGGACTAGGAATGTTGGTTTCATCCACACTTGACTGAAAAGTACCCTGAGGCACAGAGTTTAGGTGATTTGCCTAAAATCATCTAATTCATAACTGGGAAATCGAGGATTAAAACCCACGCCCTGATCTTTTTGTGGTCCCAAGTATGATGACTGGGTTTTCATGCTAATGTGTAAAATGTGCTTCCCTTAAAACTTGTTACTATGTGGACATTTATCAGTACGACTTGGAAAATAATAACAATGAAGCCCAAGCTTTCTCATTCTACAACAATGAGTTCTATTCTCTTCATCAACACTGGTTGTTAGTAATAATGGTGAGAGTTTGGTATACTTCTATATTAATCATCCTTTAGACCTGGAGTAATAGCATAATAGTAGAATATACCCGGAGTAATCTGTATATGTAGGAGTATGAAATATAATCTGAATATAAAATCAACAATGATGGGGGCTGGTGAGATAGGTCAGCAGTCTAAAGTGCCTGCTTAGGCAAGTTTAGGCAAACCGCAGGGCAGGGACTGCAGTTTGATTCCCAGAATCACATACTGTGCTAGTCCCGCCCGCAGGGTAAGCTGAGCTGGCCACACACACACAAAAAGATTGACAATGACATTTGCTAGATAAACTTTAGCTTTAAAAAATGCTAGAACCTTTAGACAAATCAGTTTAGTCCTGGAATAAACCTCAATAGTATATATCAGCCAAGGATCCTGTCAGTGATGACCTGGCAACCACAAAAAAAAAAAAAAAAAAAAAAAAAAAAAAAAAAAAAAAAAAATCACTTCATTTAAAAGTTCTGTGCACTATTTGCAGCCCCAATAAGTCTGATGACTGAGTACCTTGGCAGTTTTTCTGTAAGATTCTGATCTGGAACAAAATATTTGACACATGCTTCGTGTCTCATTTAAGGACTTAGGGTATTGCTCACAGCTGAGGGAATGCCAAAAGTTCCTCACAAATTCCTAAGTCTGCTTTCCACAAGTGAGAGGTCAGGAGCAAGCATACAGATGATGAAGAAATATACAAGTATATGTAGAGAACTTTATGCTACATATGGTTATGCAAACTGCCCCAAGTAGGAGGAAAAGCATAAGGAATTAGCCTCAAAAGCTGGGAAGGAAAGCAAATGAAGTGAACCAATAATGTCCAAATTAAACAAGAGAACTAGAAAAAAAAATGAAATGCAATGACTGAATCAGTAATATCTAAATTAAACAAAACTGAAAACATTTGGCAGGGAAGGTATTCTCCTTGTCTTGTAAGTACAGGGGACCTGTAAAGTCCATAGAAGAATTTACTGCTCCTTGCTCTCTGTTTTAATAGCAATTTGTATATACTCTATGGAAGCACTTTAATTCAATCTATGTCTTTTTTTTTTTTTTTCACTAACACCAGCTCAGACCTGAGCTTACTTAGCCACCCTATCCAATACTGAGCCATCTTTTATTCTTCTACAGTACAAACCCTCAAACCTAGCATGTGATGAAAAGAGCATGCCACTTAGATTTAGATTATGTCAGTCAACATCTCAGCAGGGAACTGTCAGCACACACAAAAGAGGCAATTGAACAGTGTTTAAAGAACTGACTGTTTACAAGATGTGGGTAGATAAGGGAAACCCAGTGAGGAATGGTGGGCATCTGGAAGCCATTAGGATTTCTGAGCATAGAGGCCAGGTAAGGAAGCACCCAAGTTGGGAAAGTAGTGAGCTACAGGAAGCTCTGGCCATCAGGAGCTATGACCTTCAGCAAAGCAGCAAAACCATCACCAAAGCCCAGCCTGCCCAGTCCTCCAAAGTCTCCCAGTGGCTGAACACTGAGGTTTAGGATGTGAATAAAGTTTTATATCTGTTCATTGCAGCATTATGATAGGATACTGGAAAGGACTTAATTGTCCAGCAATAGGGAAATCAGTAAGACAACTATTTTACGTGTTTCAATGGAGTGGTAAAAGGGGCCAGGGAAATGGTTCAGTAGAATAAGCACTTCCCTGGTAAGCACAAGGGTTTAAGTTCAATCCCTAGTTTCACCAAAGGAAAAAAAAAAGTCATTGAAGTAGTAAGATGCTTACTATATTAAGTGAAAAACAAGAGATATAAAAGACATCCAAACTGCTGCCTCTGTAATTTTACCTTTAGTATATATGAAAATATGTATAGAAGAGGAATATACTCATAGGACGTGAGACTTAAGATTATTAAATTATATGGTAAAGCTGCCAAAATAATTCAGACAAGTAGAGACTATGTTAATAAGTTTCAAGTATAAAAGAATACAGAATATTCACTGCTCTGACCATTTCATAGAACTGGTTGGGAAACTGAAAACATAATACCAACGAAACATGCTCTTTCAAAGAAGAAATAGTGTTACTTTGGGGCCTGGAGCCCAACTCATGAGAACACACAAATAAACTGCACACAAACCTGATGCTTCCATTATCATTATCACTAGATCATTGTTTTTAAAATAGAGAAGGTCTACAATAATGTGTGGTTCAAGATAAAGAAGCAAATTTCCAGTTGTGCTGTGGAAATTAAATAGTATTCATGATCATTCACACTCTAAAATAACCACATTAATCTAAATAACAGCACACAAATTTTCAGGTTAGCATAACGTTAAAAAAAAAAAAATCATTGTCAACTGGGTATGGTAGTACACACCTATAATACCAGAACTCCAGGAAACTGAGGCAGGAAAATCACAAGTCTGAGTCCAGGTTGGGCAATTTAATAAGAAACTATCTGAAATTTAAAAAAAAATATATATATACATATATATATATACACATAATTAAAAAGGTCTGAGGATGTAGCTTAGTACAAAGGCACTGGGTTCAATCCCCAAAACCAAATAAATGTTACTTTCTCTTGTGATCTACTGTGAGTTAATTCTGTGTGTATAATATTTATAGAAATCAATTAGTTTTCAATGTAATTTTTTTTTTTTTTTTTAGGGCAGGGTCTACAGGGTCTCACTACACAGATAGGACTTGTAGTGATTCTCCTGTTTTCCGCCTCCCAAGCACTGTGATTAGAGGTGTGTGTGCCACCAGGCCCAGTCTCAATCGCCCTCTCAGTGCACCCTGGGGGCAGAGCCAGCCCAGTACACCAGGGTTTCAACCCTGGCTGCTGTGCTCTAAGTAGGCACTTTAGTCTGCTAAGCTATCTGACCAGCCTTCACTGTAATTTTAAGTCTGCTAAATACATAAAAATAAAAGTAAAATCCAGGCCGTGGAGATAGCTCAGTAGAATAAGCACTTGCCTGGCAAGCGCAAGGGCCTGAGTTCAATCCCCAGTAAAAAAAAAAAAAAAAAAAAAGTAAAATCCAATTCTGAGAGACACAGGCACTAAAGACAAATTTGCTGGCTCCTAGAAAGACAAAAGATATAAAAGCTTTTCATAATCCTTTTACATCAGACCCTCTAGATCTTCATCTTTCAAGCCAACAGCAGCACTTATAAATTTGAAGTTTTAGTGGACTCATTGAGGGCTGAGGTTATCCTTTAAGCAGCGATCAACCCTAAACATTTTTCTCCTTAGATTCCTTTACTCTGAATTATCTCAGCAGCAGATATTACAGTAAGATTTTGAGGTTTTTAGGACAGATCACAAAACAGGAGAAACTATTTAACACTTCAAGACCTGAGTCACTGATTTCCTACAGAATCAGGGATTACCAGGTAAACAAGGTACTCTATAAAATTCCTAAGGCACATGAATTTTTTTCTCCCGGATAATCCCCTCTCTGCAATAGACCAGGTAAGATTCAGATAATCAAAACAGGAAAATCCTTCTTCTTAGTTTTTTGAAGAGTGATAGTTCTGTGAGTAACTGATACTCAGATTTTTTTTTTTCTTGTGGTGCAGGTGATCAAGCCCAGATCCTTGTACTGGCAAGCAAGAGCTCCACCAACTGAGCCACATCCCCAGTCACCACAACTAGATTTCTTTTAGTTGCTTCTTTTAGGTACTTGCCTCCTACACATGCACACACAGCCTCTACCATTCATCAGTGAACTATAGTTGCTTATGGTGTGGTAAAAATATCACAAGTTTCGTGTCAGCAAGAACTGAGTTAAAAATCACTTGGTCATTTATTAATTCACCTCTTAACCTATTAGCTAATTCACCTCTTTCAGATCCTGTTTTCTCAGTTGTAAATATGGGGGTGAAAAGAACTACTCTGCAAAGCTAATATGAAAATTAAATGAAATACACTGAATATGAAATCAATTATCAATAATTATTAGTCAATAATTATTAGTCAATAATTATTCAAGACCCTTGCTCTGTTTATTTTACAAAAGTACCTTAGGCTTATCTCATCTATAGGAGAGAGAAGAATTATCTGGCTAAAAACAATTCTCTTCCTCCAGTGCCCTACAATTTCCTCCATATACATACCCAAACTCAACTACCCCTTTTCGCTGGGTTAATCAGCTCAGTAGCATTAGGATATTAATTTGTTCTCCTCTTAGTTTAACTTCTGCAGGTTTTCTAAATTACCACAATTGTAGTTAAGATATGCCTGCAAAAACAGAAAGTGACCAGGAATCCTGTACCTGGAAGGAAGCTGATACATAAGTTTCTAGGGAGCTTCTCTGTGGCAAAATAATACATGACAAAGGAGATGCAGCCTGTCTTCACTTTCAACAGATATCAGATACACGGAAGACTGGTTGTCCCCCATGGGCATTAAAAGAAAAGTGAAGTAAGAGGGAAGGGCACAATTAAGTGCCAAACTGCCCTAAGATTCAGGTCAAAGATTAGAAACCTTTTACAGGATGAGATTCAGACAGTCACAAAATGCAAAATGCGAATCTTTGAGCAAATGCCAGACATTCCATTGTCCTTTTATTTTTATCTTGAAAAGTACCCAAAAATCTAGCTGTAGACCAGCTTGTTTCAACATGCTTATTGATATACACGGTACACTTATTCTTGTTTCAGTTCAACATACGGTCTCATGAAGATCAATAAGTGAGTCTACTCCAAAAAAGTTGTCTTTAATAGCCAGTACCAAGAGATTGCCTACCCTTGCCTACCCTTGTAGTAACCACTTTTCCTTGCTTTACAGATAACCACTGACTAGCTCTTGAGAGCCAACCACTGGGGACTCAAGCCAACACCTACAAGGCAGTGAAGCCAAGAATGACTGGCAGGGCCTGGGTAAGCCTCCGTGCACAGGTTTCAGTAGGGCTTCTTCTTCAGTTTGTACATGA